TCTTTTTCGGCGCGTTACGCGTCACGCACTTCCAGAATGTCATCTTCCCTCGTGTTGACAGATTGAAAACATATGACAAACATAACTTCGATTCTGCCGTGATGCAGAATTTAGTTCGCGGTACTGTGACCCCGTCTAGCATTTAAATTCAGGTAAGTAAATAACTTTTCTGATATTAAGGTTTCAATACCATACGATTAAAACTATAGCAAGCGAGTATTTCGACAATATTCTCCTCTACTAACTGTGATTTGAACTGCGTATTCGTCTCTTCATTATGGTTTATCGCAAAAATCAGTTGAAAGGAATCATGTTAAACCGAACAGAAACGCCGAAATATAATCTGAAACCGTTACAACTCTGACTGGGGTTTAAACGTCGAAGTAACTTAGGTTTGCGAAGGATTAATATTCCAAGCGTTGAAACTTGCTTGTTGCACGCGCTTTCCTGGTGTCAAAATACCCTTCAGGTTTTGGTCTCTCGACGGCGTGCATTTGGAATGCCGCCAGAAATATTTTAACACAGACAACAGCAAAGGATATGCTTCAATACAGTTCTTGTTTCATAGTGAAATTCCATGTACCAACTGGGTTTTTACGATGGTGAAGTTAGGTCAAATTTGCCATTTTTGAAAAGTGCTGAAACCGTGATTCTTCTTGCGGCCGGTACAGTCACATTTAAACGGTTTATTTAAAGTTAACTGCTGAATTATAGAGTAAAAATGTGTGTCTGTTTTGTGACTTGATTTCATCTAGAGATATTATTCCGTTTTTATGTACGAGCGCGAAGAAAATGCTCAATTTTCGCTAATTTCATACTCGAAAGAGCGCCGATTTAGAGTTTTTCAAACTTTGCCCGATTCCTGAAAAAGTAAAAAGCTGTTACAAGTTTTAACGTGATTTTTGAAATAAGTGTACTATAGAGATTATTTGAGCAAATTCAAAAATTCAAAAATTCACGACTGTCAACGGTCCGTGCACACTTCGGCCAATCTAATTTTCTATTTTTCAAACAAAAACGGAAAAAGGAAATATTACTTATCGTTATCATATTTACATATTTTAAAGTACAGAAAAAAATAGAAAAAAAGAAAATGGTCAGGAAAATTGATCATTTTTTCATTTTCCTAATTTTGAAGTCCGCTTCAAAAATACAAAAAATACTATAAACGGCTAAAAGCGATATTTTGCTATTTTTTATTTTCTTGCTATTGCTAGAAAATGAGAAAAATGAGATAATCTCTGATTCCTAACTCATTTTCCTATTTTTCCGTTTTTCCCAAAAAATAGAAAAACGGAAAAATGAAGAAATCATATTTATTCCCACCATTTTTTCATTTTTTCCATTTTGTTCAAAAAATGAAAAAATAGAAAAATAGCATACCTATCGCCTAATTTTCCATAATTCCATTTTAACAAGAAAAATGAAAATATGATAGGCGTTGCGAGCAGTTTTCCATTTTTCCTTTTATTTTTTTTTGGATAAATAGAAAAACTTTAACGATACACCCTTTTAGACAGTTTTTCATTTTTTATTTTATTGAAAAATGGCGCAGAAAAGTGAGAAGTTATGAATATTTTAACGGTGAAGAAAGGAAAAACCTAATTCGTATCCACTATCAATTCACTAATTTAGTTAGAAGATTTACACAGGGTCGGCGGAGATGTGGGGGAGTTTGGGGGGTGCGGGGGGGCTTAGTTTTCGAGATGCGGATGTAGTTCCATTCTCTTTTGATCTCGATTTCCCCTGAAGGTTTGAGTTGTCGGGAGTCGACTGTGGACGAAAGCGGCGGGAAAACCGTACCGTACATATACCGGTCGTGGAAATGAAGAATATGAGAAAGGGTACGAGGGAGGAGGAGAAGGTGTGATAATTGGTACGGGAAAAGGGGGGGTAACTCAACGGTTTTCATGCCAGCAACACTATGGTCCCAGCACAAAAAAAAGCGGTTCGTGAGAGAGATTAAGGGGAAAACAAGAAGGTCGTTGGACAGTCACATGCGCAAAAAAAATAAAGAGCGCGCCAGTGAAGAGGTCAGACGTTTTTAAATTAAATAGTTGCTCAAAAGTAGACTGCTTAGCCAGCCGAAATAACGGATCTTGCCGCAGAACGGGTGTTTTAGGATTGCAAGAGTAAAGTATATTGAATTATTATTATGGAGGAGAAAAATAACGAGGCGCCTAGTATACACTCGCTGGAAAGAACATCTTAATGCTCTGGCCCATACATTTGCTCATACATGTGTTTAAACGTTGGATAGCGACGATCCACCGGATAAATCACTATCCAGCGGCCTGATAATTTTTCATGTATTTTAGGGAAACCAATTGCGTTATCCACTGGATAGTTATTTATCCCGCGGAATATGAGCGGATAGCGTTATCCACCTTTTAGGCAACTCAGCCCTGGAAAGACGAGAGCAAAGAGCAAGTATGGGGAAACGTTCCACAGTTTAAATGCAACAGGAACACTTTATGGTGACGAGGTGTTAGAACAGGTCATAGAGTGGGTCCTAAGTAATGAGGTGAAGGAATCAGCTAATCAAATCCAAAAGTGAATGAAACTACGTTCGCATTCCGAGAACTAAAGCGCCCAAACCCGCCCTCCCCATCCCACGTCTCCGCCGACCCTGTGTAAATCGTCTAACAATAAAACTAGTGAGTCTAAAGTGGATTAGGTTTCTCTTTTTTTATTGGTAAAAGCTCATGATTTGTCATTTTTATTTGCTATTTTTCATTAAAACAAAAGATGAAAAATTGTTCGTTTTTGTTTGTTTGTTTGTTTTCTATTTATTGAAAAAATGGAAAAATTGTTCGCAACACTTGTCATTTTTCTTGTTAAAATGGAATTATGGAAAATTAGGCGATAGGTATGCCATTTTTCTATTTTTTCATTTTTTGAACAAAATGGAAAAAATAGTGCGAATAAATATGATTTTTTCATTTTTCTGTTTTTCTATTTTTTGGGAAAAACGAAAAAATAGAAAAATGATCTAGGACTCGGAGATTATTTTATTTCCCCCACTTTTCTAACAATATCAAGAAAATAAAAATAGAAAAATATCGCTTCTAGCCGTTAACAGTATTCTTTGTATTTTTGAATTTAACTTTAAAATTAGAAAAAATGAAAAAATGATCGATTTTCCTGACCTTTTTCCTTTTTTCTCTTTTTTTCTGTACTTTGAAATATGCAAACATAGTCAGGATAAGTAATATTCGCTTTTTCCGTTTTTGTTGGAAAAATGAAAAATTAGATTGGCCGAAGTGTGCACGGACCGTCAACCGATTATCGAAAATTACAGACATTGGCTCTTAAGTTTAGTCAGGGGCACCCAACGACAATTTTTGGAAAATATCTGTTCAGAAGACGATTTGAGATCTAGAATTTTCGGAACATTTGTTGTAAAACTCCTTGCTTCCCTGCCTCTCCTAGGATTTTCTAACATCTAAAAAATGGTATAATTGCCAATTTTTAACTGATTTTTACCCTAAAAAGGTCATCTAGAATTTTCGGGAGCCTTTTTTCTGGCTGAAATTTTCGAAAAGGTAAGTTATAAGCGTTGACAGGCTAAACACGACTCATAAGCTCGTGATAATGTGAAACGTGACCTCGAGAGTCTGCTTGAACAGTGGTTCTCTTTCTTTTTGTCTCTCTCGCGAAGGTTACTAGCACTACACAGTGCATGACTTGTAGCATTCTAAACTTTGACTGAGTAAATCTTGTTTTTGCCGCACTAAGTCTTATATTAAGAGGGCATGAAATAAGTTTGTTACATGCATACTGAGTAATCATTTCCTGTGGTTTATGCTTCTGTAGGTGTCCCTGATAGGATTTGATTTGATTTTTCAGTTGTAAAGTGTTTTATATCCTTTGACCTCTGTTTATTACGGCTGAATAAAGATTTTAGTTTTTTTGGATTTCTCCGAAATGACTGTGTCTGATTAACTACATGCATGCATGCAAGTTTCTTTGTCCGTGAATGTGATTATTTCCTGCCATATCAGTATGACTCTGGGCCCAGCTCTATAGTGTGGTTTGCAGGATTTTGAATTTCCACGGATAGTGCGATCTTCAGACTGTAGCTTAAACTAAGCTACACCAAGTTTGGAGAAATATATCGTGCGTCAGTCAAGATAATTCTCTTAGCGCTCACACAGTTCATTTAGTTTTTCTTAACATAAGTGAGTCTTTGAACTGGAGCGCGATGTCTTGTTGTTCCTTCATAGGTATTTACTTAAGTTTTTGCTTAACAGTCGTCTATGCGACTGTTATGAATTCTTAAGCAAGACTGCAGTTTCGGAACTATAGCGTTCCTCGTCAGTTGCTACTATGGTAAAGTCTTAGGTACAGAAGGTAAAGCACTATGATGGATACTGATACCTCGTATGGCATCAACCTAACCTTGACTTTAAGGTTTCGCCCTCTAGGAAGTATCCAGATTTGTAACTGAATACCTAAAGTCATATTTAATTTGGCCTGGTTTTCCAGTCACTACGGAGGATCAAGGTTAACTTACAATTTTATAGAAATTGTTACTTATTCCTTCAAAATCTTGTTTGCCTACATGTACTTGAATACTTGAATGGCAAGCTGTAAAAATGATTTTCTTTGCACCCTGCTTGAATGTACAAGTCTTTATTTACATTCAGTTTCATACTTTGAGAATATTGGCCCAATGTTGATTCATCCATACCTGTGAATGTGTTCTCAGTTGCATGGATCTCTTCATGACAAAAGTCAGTCATGAAAAATTGGGGCTTCCAGCTGGCATTCCAATCATGGAAGATTCCTAGTGCTTCCTGTATGGAGGCTGTAGTTTCCCGTTGAATTATGAAAGACCCCACAACTATGTAATTTACATTTGTCTTTACCACTAGGAAAAATAGAGGGAGCTCATATCTCATTGTCTTGTAGGTTGCATCAAGCAGGGTGATCTCATTTCCGTAACGGATCATGAGTTGCTTTTGCCAGGCTGTTTGATGAGCAAACAAAAGATCATCTCACACACAATTTTGATCTGTTTCCTCATTGTTCATGCTTTCAGAAGCTGTTGATGAGGCTGATAGGGTACAGGGTCTAAAATAGAAAGAGTCTTGTGGGTTCTCCTGACACCAATTTTCAATTTTCTTTTCAAGGTTTTCCGGATCAGATTTGGACAGGATTTTTTTTACTGATGCCTGATACATGTGGTTCCTGATGTCCACATCTGTTGGATAATAGCTCCTGTTTGTTGATGCTGGTGGAGATTGCCCTGGAAATAGTTCAGTTTTTACGAATTGCCTAAGATGTCTTTTCATTTTGTCCACAGTTTTCACACCTTCGCCAACAAGCTCTCCAATCTTGTCTACAAGCCGTTTGTCGATGGGCTGCAGGATGCCACCAATCTGGTTGTTTGATACATGAGGAGAAAAATGAAAATGGAATTACATTTTTGACAGAAATATTTTGACAGCCATGCTGATAGTTGTAGGCACTGCTGGTACAATGTACACTTACATGTAATGAATGAAATGTCACTTCTGTCAACAACAACATTCAAAAAACAAATTATTTGGATAGAATAGCAACAACAAGTAACAAGTCCTAGACACTACTTGGACCTTTTTTCAAAATCATTACTTCATTTACAGACCTAGGCTATGATTGTTAACACCACATAGCATGTAGCCTCCCCGCAGACGTCCTTTGGGGTTCGTTTGTCACGCATTCACAAACGAACCCCAAAGGACGTCTGCGGGGAGGCTACATAGTATGTAGCCACCCATACACCTGTTGTACTTTGTGACCTAGCCTTTGAGTGGAAGGACTGACTTGACTTTCTTTCACATGCCTTCTTGCCTTTTCATAGGAAAGTAATACCTGTCCGAAACTATAATTACCATAATGATTTATACATGAAAAACTAGAAGGTTTATATGAAAATGACTTAACTCTTGTCCCACCCATTCAAAGTGTTTTTCCCTAAGCCTTCAACTATTACTCAAACAAAAAGAGCCAAAAACAGAAGTTAATATTATTGTTCTCAAGTTAAGGTAGTGTCCCAGTTGTTTCCATTGACATCAACAGACCTCTCCAGTAATGTGATCTTTGTGTTCATCCTCCTTTGGTAATTGGATATAAATTCTGCGTTCCACTTGGGGTTTCTGTCCGCTGGTTATATCAGTCTTCAGCTTTTTGGACATGTCCCTTCTTAGTCTTTCTGTGTCATCCCTGATCTAATAGAGTTAAAAGACAGTAATAAGATATGAAATGAAGGGAAGTATTTTACTGAGCGGAAGTATAATGTCAATTGCTATCATCACTATTGTGATGGTGGTTTTGTACCTTGTAATTGCAAACTTTATGACTTCTGATAAACGAATACTTGCAGGGCAGCCAAACTTCATTGTGTCTTGAGGTAGAAACCTCCTCCTTTTGAATGAGTGATCATCAACCTGTAGTTAGAAGATTAATATTATAGATTCCTTACAGTTTAGTGCTAGAAGCACCAAAAAGGCTGTGGCTGTGAAATAAAAATGCAGATATTTTTTAGTCATAACCAACATACCTTCTCTTCAGAATGTCTCGCTTTAAATGACTTTTTCCTGTCTGGTCCATGTTGGCAGTCAAATACCTTGGTGCCAATTATACTGAATGGTACTCCATCAAATGGAATTTTGTCATCTTTGAAATAGACTTTTCTTTGCATGGCAAAGGGATCTGTGTCATAGAAACAAGGAAAGTCTGTATTATGTTTATTACGGCTGGACTCTAGCAGTCCTCAGAGGCCCCTGGTGACTTACTGTTGCTTTCGGCAAGAAGGCAATCTTAGTTTTTGCCCAAAATTACTATGCTGGGCAGCCAGAATGTCAAAGGGTTAGTGTTTTGGGCTCCCCGAATTTTTTTTCTTAGAGCATAGCCTTGTTTATTATAATTTTGATTGTAATCTGGTATACAACCTACACCACAGTCAAGCCAATGTCTCAATGTATTACATGCACCCTTTGCAGATAGTACTCAGTCAACCATAGATTTAAAGATACCGTAAAATTCCGAAAATAAGCCCCTCCATGTATAAGCCCCTCCAAATATAAGCCCCCCAAACTGGTAACGCAAAAAACCCTCCGTAAAATCGCCCCTCCAAAATATAAGCCCCCGGGGGGCTTTTACTTGGAAAATTGCCCTCAAATACAAAATAAAACAAAGCAAAAACGGTAAATTTACCTCCAACTATAAGGCTAGCCCAATCGATTTTGAAACGCAAATTTCCCTCCCGCATGTAAGCCCCTCCAAAAATAAGCCCCTCAAAAAGGGCTTTTGAAAAATATAAGCCCCGGGCCTTATTTTCGGAATTTTACGGTATTTCATGTCTTTGATTCATAAATTGTTCATGCCATGAATACTACTGTGTTTAGAATATGCACATTCTACTCCAGCATATTTCTTCCCCCCCCCAAAACAAAAGAAAAATTTCTAAGATCACAGCATTGTTTATTATAATCTTTTGATTGTAATCTGGTGTGCAAGCTACACTACATTCTACTCCAGCATTCTTAACCCTATTATGTTACACTGCACTGCTAAAATCATAGCTGCTGATGACCAATCAGATTCAAGAATTTTTTTATGACCAACTTATTGTTTATGCACTTATCAACTGAAATCCCCCCTCCCCCACCCCCAGGACAGGGTGGGGATTTGACTTCATGTCAACTACAATGGTGATTAACCCCCATGAGGGGGCACTTAAACTTTTAAAGCCCCCACCTACAGTCCTGTAGGAGAAAAATAAAACATGGCAAATCTTGAGAAATCCCCAGTCCCCAACGGCAAAACATGCTGTCAAATTTTATCAAACACCCTTTGTTCCCCCACCTTGGCCCGGGGGTGGGGGGGTTGGCTTTCAGTTGATAAGTGCATAATTATTTTGTTGCTTCATAATTATCTTACCTCCAGCACCAAACATTTTGTCTGATTTAAAACAAGAGAATTTTGTTGTTGTTTCCAGTTCATATTGTCTTATTACAGTCATGGCTTCCTCAACTGATCCAACATAGCCAACAAACTTGTTCGTTGATCCTCTTAACTTGGCTTGCCAAGTACATACAGTAGCACTGTCTTTCTCACTTTCTAAATATATGCCTTCAGCTGTGCCGCTACCTTCTTGGGCATTTGCCGGCAAAGCCATAACAAACGACTTTTGCTGAGTACTATAAACCGAGCAGTCAACTTCCAGATCTCATACACCCGGAAACTTTATTACTTTCCTTTCGAAAATGCCCGCCAAACAACAATGCTTAGCGGGAAAATCTTCGGAATTCCGAGACAGGTTTTTGGTACATTATCGTCAATTTTCGTGCGCGTTCGCCTGTTATTGAACGTCAGTTTCATGGATGGAAAGATACGCTATCTGTCACGCCATCCATCAAACTGACGTTCTCCACTGTGGCAAGCTTTAAGGGTATAAAATAGCTTTACCCTTGTCCAATTTACCCTAAGTTTTCAAAGGTTTATTGAAAAAAATCAGGACCCTGCTTTATGTGCACAGAAAAACACAAATAATCTGCTGGACACACGTGGACCCACAAAAGATCATCCGCCATATTAGTTTTTACGATAGGAAGCCGGCGAGTAAACCGAAGATGTTCGCCGGAGATCAGATGACGTCACGTCAGTTTGGCGGATGGAAACAAGTGACGACCTACTGACAAGCATATATCAGTCTAGACCAGACAGAGGCCGCCATATTTGTTTTTACGATGAGAAGCCGACGCGTAAACCGAAGATGTTCACCGGAGACCAGATGACGTCACGTCAGTTTGGCGGATGGAAACAACTGACGACCGTTTTCTGCGAGAGACTAAGTTTGTAGAGGGTAAAAAAAGAGGAAGGAGGGGCCGGGAGGGGCTAACTCGCGCAATAACTCTATTGGAAACGCTTGTTATGCAGGCTAGGTATAATATAAAGTGTTTCTTTAGTTTAATTTTAAGCTTTGGGCATAGAGGGAAATTTTCATTGAATTTCCCTGGACTTAATTAAGTGTTAATAAGGCTCGATTCAAACGTCAAATTTCACAAATGACGAACTTAATGACAATGCATGTACATGAAATGTAATGTTTCCATTAAAAAGCATTAGGTTCGCTGCACATTTTTAACCGGGTCTTTAAGTTTTGATAAAGGTAAAGAGAAAGGGGAATTTTCTGCAGGAAAGGAGCGATAGTAAAAAGGGAGTGGGGCCGAAAAAATTATTTGAAACACTACGACTGAATTTTTTATCTCAAATTGCTATATTCTTTTACAATTATTTCACAGATAAAAGAAACAAGACAAAGTGATAAGTCTCCAGTGGAACGAAACACACAACAGAGGAAGATTGAAGATAGATACATGGCGTTTGTCTTTCACTTACATCCAGAATCAAAAGCACTCTAGAATGAAAATCTTCGCAAAGATAACATCAAGACAGATGGGCTTCTGATCAAGAACATTTCTTACTTACCATGATTTTTGCACTGGCTTGCGTGAAAGAAGTGTTTTAAACTATTTTGCAGGTTGCCTTCCGTGACAACAGGGTGTATCTGGAACATTTATAGTGCTTCAAAAATTTGCGCAGTCATTATGATTGTTCATTGACAGACTGCAATAAGTACTTTAGACAATAAATCGTGAAAAGGTTTTAAAAAATCGTTTTTATGTGTTTAAGTTTTAATCGGAATTATTCAGCTTTCTAATCATCTAATGAGGTTTTAGGACAATAAAGTACAAGATTAAGAACTCAGTCTCTTATCTGTCCACCTTTTTAAACGGTATCCAGGTCGCAATTGAATTTGATTGAAATCTCAAGTTGGATTCTAGCCTGTATATCAAGCACTTATGACTAGCGAGGCAATAACGCGGCATTCGTGCAAAGCGCGAGGCGAACGCGGAATTCACGCGAAGCGCGAGACGAGCGAGAGGCGCGATGCGAGGGGAGGAAAAAAACCAAACATATTTGGCAACACCTTTATTAAACCTTTGACTTAAATCTCAGACGCATTTGACGACAACTTTGTCAGACATTTGACCTGGGGCTCAGACACATTTGACGACACTTTTCACAAGCCTTTGACTTTAATCACAGACATAACTTTACCGCGCTTTTGTCACACCTTTGGCCTGAATCTCAGACATATTTGACGACGCCTTTGATAGGGGTACAAATGCTAATGAAATATACCTTTGACGCGCGTCAAAGGTAGGGGTTAAAGGCGTGACAAAAACGGCCTTTACCGCCTGAAGACTCGCCTTTGACCGCGAGCAAAGGTAAACATTTGTCGCGCGTCAAAGTTGTATAAAGGTGTGCAAAGGTGGCCTTTATCGCCCGTTTGACTTCACCTTTGACGTTCGGTAAATCCGTTTTTTCGTCCCGTGATTATTTTCCAGTTTACCCCATCCATTCTCTTTTTACAGCTTTTTTATATATGTATTTCTCTCCTTTTTCTTTCTTTCTTTCATACTTTTCTTCTTTTCTTCTTTTTATACAGTTTGAAGCAGTCATTTTATTCAATGCAGTTACTGTTTGGTCAATACAGAAAAATAACGTCACCTATATGTAGCCTTTTAGAGTCGGAGGTGCCCTGCGGGAACCATACAAAGTACCAATTTCAAACATGTTGAACTAGCGGAACTCAAAGATTAAAAGACGTGAACAAGCACTTATTATAATCAATATTGAGCATCAATATCAAAGTTTCACTACAAATTATAAGATTTTGTCATATTCTAACGAACAGAGTTGTCTTGATATTGGTATACGTAACAGATCAAGGTGCCAATCGCTTCTTGGTAATTATAGTTCTGGCTGGCGTGTCTGAATTCAGGTAATAGGTAAGGTCAGTAAGTTGGTATATACGTAAGCCAATTCATTACAGTTGTGTTGCCCCTGTAGTAATGAGGGTTGTCCAATACTGTCGACTAGAATCAAGTCGTATCCCTTTGCTTTCCATCGGAAAACCGGAAGTGTAGTGGTGTATAGTTCTACCATACCATTGGGCACGAATAGATTCCGATGGAAAAGTATATTTTCTATTCGTGAGAGACTTAGAAAAATTTCACTCATCTTGGATGAGGGGGTAGAAAGTCGTCCCGATGGAGTCCATCGGATCCATTGGACACGAATAGAGTCCGATAGAAAAGTATATTTTCTATTCTTGAGAGACTTTTGACTACCTGTTAGAATCATTTGGGTTTAAAGCTTGTAAATTTGGAGGATCTCAACTCTAAAATAACATCTAGCAAACCGGCCTGTTTCTCCTTGTTTGTTCCGTTTCTTCTTGTTTTGTTTCGTTTATATATTTTTTTTCTGGGGCCGCAGGACTTATTCAACTTAATGCCGAAATGGCTACCACTTTGAAATAAATAGCCAAGTGGATCCTACAAAAAAAGAGTTAATTTCATGCCCTGGCAGTAACTATGTTTCGGTTATTCTGCATTGATTGATGTGGAAGTAGTTAAGTTAATCAAAGCGCTAGCAAGTATCAACCTGCGGTGCAGAAACAACAAGCTGACCATACATACAGGGAAGTCAGAGGTCATGATTTTGACTTATAAACCCTTCTGTGGACCACTAGAGCCTGTTATGTTAGGAAATACGGTCTCAGATTTTGTGACTGAAACTAAGTGTTTAGGAATTATTATTGACAATCGGTTGCCTTGGCTTAGCCATATTGAATTCATTTGCAGGTCATTTGGCCAGAAAGTAAATCTGGTAAAAAGGCTCAAGTATTTAACAAAGGATACCCTACAGTCTATTTACTTTACAAGTATTATTCACACTGTCACTTATTGCAATTTAGTTTGGGGTACCTGCTCACCTACATTATTGCATGAAGTGGAGCATATCCACGCCAGGGCAGCCAAGATTATCTATAGGCTATCTGACGTTAGCAACCAAGAAGCTTTAATAATAGCTGGATGGGAATCGATTAATTCCATGTGCAAGAGAAAGTTACTGACTTTCAAGTTTACAAATCTGAGCTACCAGATATCATAATTAGGCTTTTTAGTAGTAGCAATTGCTGTTATGATCTACGCAATAGCATTAAGTTTGAGGTTCCAGGCTTTAATCTAGAGGTCACTAAGAGGTGGGCCAACCTCGGGACGAGGTTGGAGATGAGCACGAATTCATTAACTTATAGGAGAGCTTTGCTCTGGAACTCCATTCCAGACTATTTAAAAAGAGCACCAAGTCTAAACATTTTTAAAAAGCTTATTAAGAAAAATAGACCCTTGTTTCAAACGGATGAAATAGTATTTTCTATTGTTATTAACTTTTAGTCTTCTATGTTACTACTGTATATTTATTCTTTTCATATCCCTATTTTCTGTATATTTTTTATTTTATTTGTATATCATCAAAAGATAGTTTATTAGTAGGTCCACATCAGCTTTAGCCGCCTTTTATGTAACCTGCTTTACCAAATAAACTATCGAATGAATGAAAAATGAATGAATTCTTTTGGGTTTTCTTTTCATATTTAAATTGGGTAGCCCCAATGAGGTTTAAGCTATAATTTGCATAAGAAAGCAAACCCTGAAGGATCCTGGTCAAAGTATGAAAATGATGCCATCATGCAAATGGCCTATTCAGCGCCGCCGCTAGTCTGTTAGACAGCCGTTTTTAGTATCGTCACGCAAGGCTTTCTCCCCTCTTGTGGGAAGGAGCGTTGCGTGACGGCACTGAAAACGGCTGTGTAGCACACCACGCCGCCGCACTCCCGCCCCCATGAGAGGACACAGAGGATTTTTACTGGAAGTACAATTCCACGCAGAGATGTTTTCTTCGCAGGCAGCTAATCCGACTTAATTTTATTTAATACGTCGCGCTCCTCGAAAGTGCGAGAATTTTCTTGTCGTGTATTAGATTTCAGATACATTTTCTTAATCTTCATTTCGCGCCAGAATAAATTAGTTTGCGAGTAAAGGGCTTCTAAAAAAATCACAACGTTCGTCCCATTTCGAGTCCACCTTCTGGAAATACGCCGGTTTGGTAGCTGGAATACATCGGCCGAGGCGAAGATCTGGCAGTTTTTCCTCCTCGTCGTATTTTCTCCACGACAAATGTTTATATTTGTAGTGAGAATGCAGTGCATATCGGTGGATTTTACATAATGCGGCTTGGTGCGGCTAGCCTCCCCGCAGACGTCCT